TTCTTTACCACTGAGCAACCTGGGAAGCCCACAAACTAATTGCCTAATTTCAAAATGGGTTGTCTCTAATGTGTGAGACACTGGGCTAAAGTCCAGGGACTGGCAAGGAAAGGAGGGAGCAGGACCCTTGCCTTTCTGAAGCTAACTCTTAGGTGGAACAATGTAATAAATGATCATCGATTAGGGTAAGTACGACCAAGTAAATAGGCTGGATGTCACAATGGAGCACAATGGTGGTGGGGGGAATCTCACTTAGGCAAGGTGGTCCGGCAGGGTCTCTGTGGAGGTGACAGGAACCCTGAGATGCAACTGTGTGTTTTTTATCCGGAGCTCGAGAGGGCAGGGACTATATCTTATTTACGTTTTTTTCCCTTGGCCACACTGCCTGGCGTGTGGGATCTTAGTTCTCAGACCAGGGATCAAAGCCATGCCCCCTGCAGTGGAAGCACAGAGTCTTAACCACTGGACCACCAGGGAAATCTTGTCTTCCTTACTTTTGAATCTCCAGAGCTTAGAACAGTGGCTGGCACTTATTATGAAAAATTGGTATTATTTTTATGGTGCGTATTCACTGACTGTTTGATGAATAAATAAATGATCTCCTTCCAGCAGTTCCTACTTAAAGTACCATGTACTTAATCACATGAAGACAATTATGTCAAACAAACGTGACAGTCTCATGCCTAGTCTGTCTTTATTTGCTCCTTTCTTGTCGGCCTCTCATTGATTTTTGTCCATATTGCCACTTGATGCCTCAGATGTGTTGAGCACAAACAGGAAAGAACACACACAAACAGATACACACACACACACACACACAGGCATACACACATACACAGACACACACATTTTACCGACCACTTCCATTCCTGCAAATGCTGCAGATTCTACCCGAGAAGCTATTACATGCTCCCAAATAGAGCAAACCTCTCATTAACTATCACATGCCCCCTTAAACGATCTTTGAATAGTGTTTTCTTTTTTATTGCTTTGTGTAGTTTAACGGCACCAATTGTGATTACTTTAGCTTATGATAAACCCCAGATCTATAAAGCTCCTGTTCATTTATTATTTTTCTCTTGCTCCTTCCTGGGTGACAGACACTCTATTAGATACTGTTAAACAGAACAAATATGCCTCAATGCAGCACAAGTAGGTCTTGCATATTTATTCTAAATGGCAAATATAATGATCACCATCTTATCTTTAACGGAAGAAGCAGCTAATTGTTCCAATATCTCACTAATTTCAACATCTGGGAGAAAAAAATTATAATTTTTTTCAAACTATTCTACCAAGTGTTCAATTTATAGCAAGGTGTGGAGGGCAGTGTGGACAGAGATGTCTGCTTCTTGATCTATGTCATAGCTGCTATTCCAGTTCAATTATTAATATGTGGAAGTTATAATCATTTTGAGTATTGGTACAAGATAATTATAAACCATAAAACAGCTCCCCATGTTTGCTGATGCTTCTTTGTTATGTGCGGACGTGTTGGGGTTTGAGCATGTGAGCTTTCGAAAGAGAAAAAAATGTGTAATATGGCACTTGGGGTAGCTAGACTGGCTGGAGTGGGAGCAGAGAGACATCTGCCTCCTTTCCAGGCCCCTCCCTCTTCCCCTCCTCATGCCTCTCACCCCTCTGGGGCCAAAGCCCACCCACCTCCAGCATCTCCCCTTCGGCCCCACCAACTCACCCACCTCCTATCCTGTCTCCTCTTTGTTAGCTGAGATTTGTAACTCCTCATACAGGGTGGTTTAACTTTCTTGCCACCCCCTCATCTCCTTGTTTACATAGAAGCAGCAGCAGCTACTGTGTGTGGGCATGAATGTGCACTGGGGCATTGGGGAGAGGTGAGAACCACAGGCGGCGAGGAAGGCAGAGGTGGGGGGCAGGCTGTTACTTCCTGGCCATCGCTGATGCCTCTGTTGCGTCCTGTTTGATTCCCAGTTCATCTTTACTAGGGGAAGGTATAGATTGGGCTAACGCACCTAGAATCGCTCATTCCCAGCCAAGTGGATCACAATCCGTTGAAAGGAATAACCCACTTTTGTGGCTTGTGTGTGTTTGAAAAGGGGCTCAAAGAGAAGGGGCATTGTTTCAGCATCTTGCTTTTTTTTTTTTTTAACAAGAAAAAACTATTTAAAATGCCATCTGGAAGATAGTGAAAGACAGAGGAGCCTGGAGTGCTGCAGTCCATGGGGTCACACAGAGTCAGACACAACCGAGCGACTGAACAACAAAAAGGATTCCCCTGGTGGTCCAGTGGCTAAGAATCCATCTTCCAATGCAGGGGACATGGATTCCACACCTGTTTGGGGAACTAAGATCCCACATGGACCCTAGAGAAGCCCATGGGCCACAACCAGAGATCCCGTCTGCGTCAACAAAGGTCCTGTGTGCTGAAGCCAAGACCCGGCCCAGCCAAACTAGAGACATAAAGACCTGTTAAAATGCCATCTTATGACCAGTGCCAGGTCGATGCATGAAGCAGGGCACCCAAAGCCGGTGCTCTGGGACGACCCAGAGGGATGGGGTGGGGAGGGAGAAGGGAGGGGGTGCTTAGGATGGGGAGACATAGGTGCACCCGTGGCTGATTCATGTCAGTGTATGGCAAAAACTACCACAGTATTGTAAAGTAATTATCTTATAATTAAAATAAATAAATTTTTAAAATGCTGTTTAGCTTAGTTGTTGCACAAAAGTAAGGCTAAGAAGTAGCCTTACTAAGCAGCTAAGAAGCAGCCATTCTTAGAAGTAATCAGATCCTAGTCTTGCTACCAAGTCCTCTTCTAGTCCCCCCAACTTTCTTCCTTCTTTCTTTACTTGAACAATGTCTAAGGAGCTATTAAGGGTGCATTTGCTTTTCTTACCATTTTCCTAAGCTCTGGTTCAGGGTATTGCCACTGTACCTTTCTTTGCAGCAAATGTATTTAAACTTCTTTTTAAGAAGACAGGCTTCCCAGGTGGTGCTAGTGGTAAAGGACCCACCTACCAATGCAGGAGACATAAGACATGTGGGTTTGATCCCTGGGTTGGGAAAATCCCCTGGAGGAGGGCATGGCAACCCACTGCAGTACTCTTGCCTGGAGAATCCTATGGACAGAGGAGCCTGGCGGGCTACAGTCCACAGGGTCCCACAGAGTCAGACACCACTGAAGAGGCTTAGCATGCACGCACACATGCACATAAGAAGAAACACCAGAGCATTCTCTCTCTCTCTCTACCATGGGATGACTCAGTGAGAAGGTTGCTGTTTGCACATCACAAAAGAGCTCTCACTAGAACCTGACCATGCTGGCACTTTGATCTTGGATTTCCAGTCTCTAGAACTGTGAGAATATAAATTTCTGGGTTTAAGCCACTCAGTCTGTGGTATTTTGTTATGGCAGCCTGAGCCACTTACGAAAATTGGGAGGAGTCGAATCCTGTTCATCATCCTTTGTGATATGATTCTTTACAGGCCTCAAGATCTGGAGTCAGTATCCTTCTACTGGGGTCAGACACTTGGAACTTGAGCTTTCAAATCCATCCCAGCTCCTGACTCTTTTGGTTCCCCCATTCCCTGGGAGCCTTATTTCATCTTCTCTAATGAGCTTTGCCAGCGAGCAAATGTGTCTATTCAGCACCACGGACAGAGCCATGCTGTCAGTTCCCACAAATTAGAAGTTACTGCCTGGCACTCTCAAGAAGGTGGTGGTGGGAAGGGAGGGCTGGGCTGAGAGAAGAGTCGGGAAGGAACACTGACTGGCAGGATGCAGAAAATGCAGCCTCAATCCCGGCTGTGCTCAGCCATGGGGCTCCTGCAAATAAGGAGGAGCTTCTTGATGCTGTTGCCTTCTTATAGAGGCAGGCAGTGAAACCGGGGAGGTGATACTCTTTGTGTTTAATTGCACTGTCCCAACTGTTGTCAAACTGTTACCATGATGGGTCCTGGCAACAAAGCTCTAGCTGGTGAGGCATTAGCTAGAGCACTCTGGGGAGCACACGGGAGTGTGGGTGTCATGGTCTAGAGGCTGGGAAGAGAGCCAGCTAGGAGTTTAGGAAGAGGGTGCTGGAGCTAAGCTGTGGTCTAAGTTTGGGGCTAGAGATGGTACAGGTGCGCTGTCTTTTCTATGCCTGGAATGGGAATGAGGCTACAGGGGGCGCTGGGCCTTGGGAAGGGAGGGGCCCGGCTCATGGCAATCTGGGCTGGTGAGAAGCCAGGGCTTCATTTGTCTGACTTTAATGAATAAATGGCATCCCCAGCCATTGTTTATCTACTTCTGAATCCTGACAAACAATCTGTGGCATCTGATGGAGAGGGTTATTAGCCGCACGGAGACAGATGGCTGGGGATGAGGGGACTGGCTCTTTGTTACAGCGGGCCCAGAAGTGACAGCCCTCCTCTCACGTCCCAGCCTCCACATCAATGCCAAGACCTTCTCCACCCCGCCACCTCCTGCCTTCTGTGGCCCAGTCAAGCGTCCGAAGAAAGACCCAGTACTAGAGGAAGACAGAATGGCCTGTGAGTAAGAGGGAGAGGTAGGGCTGAAGGCGTTGGAAAAGAGGGCAGGTTTTTGAGTGGAAGTCCCTTGAGAATAAAGAGCTCTGCCTTATTCTTCTTTAGTATCCTCCCAAGTGCCCTGCGAGGTGCCGTTAATTTCAATTAGCATTCAAGAAATATGAACGTTAAGGAGAAAGGCCGTCAGGTCTAGATTAGAAAAGATAATAGAAGCAGATTTAGTTGAGCCAGGTGGTAGGTGAGGGACAAAGGAAAGGGAGGAGAAGGAGGAGAAGGAGGGGACCTACGGGGAGGAAGGAAGAGAGCGTAGGGAAAAACTGCTCATGAACCAGCACAGTGTTTCTTCCCCACGTTACTATCCAAACGGCTTCATGGAAACCAGCCTCATCGGTCTGCTGTCCTTTCTGAGAAGCCCCAGGGTCTTTTTCCTGCTGCCACAGCTGTAGGCAGGGCTTCCTCCCTCCCCATCACCCTGAGAAGGCAGGCTGCCACTGACCTTCATTCATTCTCCGGAACTTGTCCTTGGCCATGTAGCCCAGCACCAGACAGCATCCTCTTTTCTGGAGGCCCAGCTCTGGAAGGAAAGCAGAAGTGGGTGAGCTTGGAACAGGTTAGGGGTCAGTGAAGGTCCTTTTGCAAGAGTTATGAAGCTTGTTGCTCTTATAAAAGGGCTACTTATTCAAACAACATTTAGAAAGCACTTGGTCCAGGCATGATTTTTTTTTTTTCAAAACTTTCACCAGGTTTATTTCTAGGATTTTCATAATTTTAAGATGTTGCAAATGTGATTTGTATTTACTTATCAGTGTATAGTTACTTTACAATGTTCTGTTAGTTTGGCTGTATAGCAAAGTAAATCAGCTATATGTATACATATATCCTCTCTCTCTCTCTCTTTTTTCTTTTTTTTTTGGATTTCCTTGCCATTTAGGTCACTACAGAACATCGAGCAGAATTCTCTGTGGTATACAGTTGGTTCTCATTAGTTATCTGTTTTATACAGTCCAGGCATAACTTAAGGCCAATAATTTGCTTATTTGATCTTCACAACTACTCTATGAGGTACCACTATGATATACTCTATGATATACCACTGTTATCCCCATTTTTATATTATATCTGCATTTAGGTGGTCTTAGATGAAAGAGCTGGTAGGTGGCAGAACCAAGAGTTTGAACAGAGGCAGCCTGACGGTGGAGTCCACAGTCATAACCTTTTCTCTCTAGGTTGATGAGTCCTCAGGCGTGAAAGGGGTATGCCCAGATTACATAGGGACCATGGTGAAGCCAGAGGAGAGGCAGACTCCAGCCAGTGGTGTTCAGGGTGGAACAGCACAACCAGGCACAGTGGAGGGTTCAGGGGAAGACGCAGGGGCCAAGGGGCTTCCCAGGTGGCGCCCGTGGTAAAGAACATGCCGGCCAAAGCAGGAGACATGGGAGAGGCAGGTTCAACCCCTGGGTCGGGAAGATGCTGCGGAGGAGGGCATGGCAACCCACTCCAGTATTCTTGCCTGGAGAATCCCATGGGCAGAGGAGCCTGGCGGCCTACAGTTTAGGGGTTCGCGAAGTGTTGGACATGACTGACGTGACTTAGTACACAGGAGTCAAGGTGTAGGTAGAAGGAGTCTACCTTATGGGAGAGAGTGAATGTCTGGGGCTGAGGATCCCTGTTCATCCTTACATTTAGACACAATTCAGCATCGTCATCAGACACTTAGGAGCGTAGACTTAGCTTGGAGCACAGGGGTGGGGATGGCTAAGAAACATAAGACATAGACTCTGGTCCCACAAGACTTTGATCCAATAGAACAACAAGCTAGAACAACGATTCCAGGTACCAAATGCAAGAGACAAGTTTTCCCGCACGACGATATTCTGAAAATCAGTGTCCATTGTATATCAGCCCTGGACTGGAATACCTCGATTAACCAGGCAAGATTTCCTCTCCAGTATCTCTCCTTTGCCCCAAAGGTGGCGCAGTGGTAAAGAATCTGCCTTTCTATTCAGGAGACTCAAGAGACATGGGTTCCATCCCTGGATCCAGAAGATCCCCTGGAGTAGGAGATGGCAACCTACTGTGGTATTCTTGCCTAGAGAATCCCATGGACAGAGGAGCCTGGCAGACTACATTCCACGGGGACTGCAAAGAGTCAGACATGACCGAATGACTGAGCGCACACACACACACATCTGTCCTTTACTCCTGATTTGTCATCAGCACTTGTGGGTTCTGAAACAGGTTTCTCTTTGTATTCCCCACAGCCTCTGCATGAGGGAGGCAGGCCAGTTATTACTGTTCACACTATGCAGATGAGAAAACTGAAGTTAAAAAATGTTAAATGACTTCCCATGATTCTTGCAGCCTCCCCACCCCCACCTCTTTGCTTTGAGGTCATACAGATGTGGCAGCTGCCATGAACTGGGAAAACGGATAAGGGGTGTGGTTTCCAGAGGCAGGGATGGCGCTGCAGCTTCTCCCAGGCTCGGTCAGCCTCCCGGATGCCTGGCTGCTCCCTCCATCGGTCTCTTAGAGAAGGAGGGGGCCACGGAGGGATACGTCACAACATCTTCTTCCCGACCCCTGGTGATACTCTGAGCCCCGGCTGGTTGGCGACTAGGCTGCCAGAGTGTAGAGAGGCTGGGGTCCTTCTCCTCCAGCCCTCCCCCACCTCCTGTGGCCCAGGCCCAGCCTCTGGGAGCAGCAGAATGAAAGGGCCAGAGAGACATGGCTAAGTCAAGCTCAGGGGCTCCCGCCCCAGAGGAAAACAAAGCATGGTGGGTGGTGGCGGAATGCCATGGCCCAGGGAGGTCGCGGGCTTTGATCTCTTGATTCTTTAAAGGGGTTTATTGACTATCAGTAAAGAGCAGAGAAGCAGATCTGAGCAAGCCTTTTCCAAAGGCACTCACTTCTCTTCCTTTCTCTCCACGCTCGCTCGTCTGAAGGCACAGCCAAAACGCCCTCACTTCAAACAGCCTTACATCTCAGGCACCCAAATTGACGATGTTAAGTTCCCTCATCCAAGGCCTCGGCCCTTTCTTCAGGGGCTCCTGCTCTGTCGAAAGCCATGCGGATCAAAGCCCCTTTGATGTTTACTTACTATATTTGTGGATCCTTTCTAACAACCACCTTCAAGAGGCAGGAATGCGGCCTGCCAGGAGGAGGAGCTGCGGAAGCTTTAGCTGTGAGGTGGCTCTGAGCCCCAGCAAACAACAGCCTCTAGCCCGGGACCCTATTGAAACCTCAAGATGCTGACGACAGGCAGTTAACCAGCCCGTTATAATTGCACGCGTATTGTTCATCATGAGAATGACACAATTGCTGATGATTCCTATTATATTTTCCACTGACTGCCTATGCTCATCTGAAGTACATCAGCAGCGGCTCCTAATGAGAAAGGGAGCTTGGGTTTGGGTGCTTGCATTGAGCCCAGGAACAAACTCTGGCAGAAGAGTGTGGGCAGAGGACTCGGTGAATTTCAGCCAGTGCTCCTGCAGGGTTTCCTGGGCCATCCCCTCACCTCTCAGGGAAATGGAGGGGCATGGTCCTCATACAGACTTAGAGACTGGATCACCTGTTGACTGAGCTGATCGTCTCTGCCACCCCAACCCACCCTGTCCTATGTCTCGTAATGTGCCACCAGGGGTATTGCCCAATGAGAGAGTCTGTATATACACATGGTTATTATAAGTAAGACTCTCATGGACCATGTTTGATTTTTGCAAATGAGCAGGAAAAGACTTTTTTTTTAAATAAAAAAAACCTGATTAATAAAAGAAATGGAAGCTGAAGCAATTTCTCAATGTATTTGGCTCATTTAATTTGACATGTGTGGGTTAGTCTTAATTATTTAGGCATCTACATTACAAGGCACTAAAAAGCACACTGCAGAAATTTATTAAGTGAGAGAGGGCTCTCTGACTAAGTCTTTACTGAAAGTGGGGAGAAGCCACTGGGATCCTTGCAAGAACAGCAGGTTGGGGGATTAACTACGTGAGAATGAGCTGGCTATCCATATATGAAAACAGGATGTTCTTGGGAAAGATTTGCAGAGCTAAATTAGAGGTCATTGGTGCTACATGAAGAAGCGGGTCAGGGCCAAGGTGTGATTCCAGGAGAATCTGGAAACACAGGTGTGGTCAAAGTGATGAGAGAGAACCGTGCACGGAGCAGGAACCAATGGCTTCTGATTGGGAAAATGCCAATAAGCCAGATCAACCAGGCTATTAGTGGAGAGATGACGGAATGTGATAGGAGAGGTATCATTCACACTGTGAGCTGGGTCAGCCACCAGACGACCAACTTCTTTGTCAGGTGGTGTGGGACCGATGGTGGAGTCAGATCCCAGATGCCCATTTTATTTATTTATTTTTAAGACTTGTTTGTTTCTGATGTGGATCATTCTAAAAGTCTTTGTTGAATTTGTTATGATATTGCTTCTGTTTTATGTTTTGGTTTCTTGGCCTCATCTATATGGGATCTTAGTCCCCCCAACCAGGGATCGAACCCACATTCCCTGCATCAGAAGGTGAAGTCTTAAGCACCGGACCACCAGGGAAGTCCTCCAGATGTATGTTTTAAGACAGCAAGATGTTGGGGTCTTCTCCATGTAGACTTTGGGGCTGCAGCTCTTGGCTACTAATCAATAGCAGAACCACCAGATGCACTGAAAGAGCCCATAGGAAAAGACTGATGTGAATGGAGTCATCCTGGCTTGAAGGGCAGTTGTACAAAGAAGGCCAGGGTCACCTGCCTATGGAGGTGCGGAGCGGGCTGTCTCAGGAGAACAAAGAGTTAGGAGACACTGCTACGCAAGGAGGGGCTTCCCTGGTGTCTCAGCAGTAAAGAATCCGCCTGCAGTGCAGGAGCTGCAGGAGACATGGGTTCTATCCCTGGGTCAGGAAGAGCACCCACTGGAGGGGGGCATGGCGATTGGCTCCAGTCTTCTTGCCTGGAGAATCCCATGGGCAGAGGAGTCTGGCGGGCTACAGTCCAAGGAGTTGCAAAGAGCTGGACACGACTAAAGTGACTTAGACGCACATTCCCTGCACAATGAAGCATTGCCTGAGAAGGCGTATGTCTCTTAGGGAGAGTGCCAGGCTGCACCCCAAGAACTCCCAGCCTGTAGGCTGTGAGCCACAAAAGGGTGGGGATAGTGTCTTTTTAGGCTCAGGGTCCGTGGTTTCAAGCACAGTGCCTGGCACATGGCAAGTGATCAGGAAAAGTCTGCTTTAATGAAAGAGATGACTGAGAAACAATGGGTAATGACCAGTACTCTCTGACCCGGGCCAGAGAGAAGTCAGATGGGCTTGACAGAGGCACAGTGGATTAGGTCAGGTGAGGATGGCCTGGAGTGAATGAACACTGTAATTCATCAGAACAGGAGTCTGGGAAATGTGCAGTTTCCTCTCGGGAGGTATAAAAAAGGATGGCTTCATAAAAGGAATGGTTTTCCTTCAGTTTCTGAGGGTGAGGATGGGACTTTTTCTAGCCTGAGGATTCCTTTATTCTTCCTAGTAATCATGATATTGCGGAGATATTACTTCACATTTGTGGGATACTTATTTTTTCACGATA